CAACTGATCACCAACCTGAGTTGTTTCATTAATCAACTGGGCACTGCATATGGGCACTGCTGTTTCCCATCTCAAAACTATATAAGACGTATATCACTGGTGACATCACCTCAGGTCTACTGGGACACCTCGGACTTCCGGCTCACCACCCGGGACCTTTGGCTTCGGCAGCGCGACGGCGCGCTGGAGCTGAAGGCCAGAGAGGACGGCGCAAAGGCGCTGGACGGAGACTTCGTGAGTCTTGGATTGACATGGTCAGGACTTCGCGGGGCTACCAGTATACAGTGGTCGGACTAAGTATACATAGAGTGGTTTGAGTGGTCGGATTGAGATGGTAATTCCACGTGGTCGGATCTTCTCAGGTGATCATCTCAGAAGACACAGTCGTGACCAATATACACGTCTGAAGAATCATCCCATATCATTCCTCATGGTGTGTCTTCCTAGCTTTATACCATTATGGTCAGGGTCAGGGACATAGAATCGTGGTGTCAGGGACATTGAGGAATGATCAGAATGTCCCTAGGCCACTGGCGTGGCTGTTCTTCGAGACAGACGAGACATGTTTGTTGAAAAGGGTATACGGATTGATACTGTATATATATATATATATAGGTTCTGCCATCCATGTTAGTCCAATGGACAGCCTGTTCCAGAGCCATGTCTCCCCTACCATTTTGTTTACTGGTCAAGTACGTTGTAAAAATGTTTGTATGCGCAACAGCCCTGCATTCAAAGCCATATAGTTTTTATTGCCATGCTTTTCCTAATCTTGTCGTTGATTCGTCGCCATCTTTTGCCAGATCCACCTGCCATTGCACCTGCCGTTGCCAAGGAGCGTCTACCGCGAACTCACGGAGCTCCCGCGCATCGCGGAGCGGCTGCAGACCTTGGACCTGTCGCTCCCCGCGCCTCGCGGCGCCGGCCCCGGCGGACCCGGCGACCTGGACGTCTTCGCGCGGATCGAGACGTGGAGGCGAAGGTATAAGGCGCCAGCGGTCGGCGGTGCAGTGGGGTTCAGCGGTCGAGGCCCATCCGTTTGGACCGGTTGAACCAAAGAAAGAAAGGCCGCAGGAGTTGCAGAGAAAAGGGATGGGGGAGATGCCTCGACTGAGGCCAGTATTCTATTTTGACGCAAGCGAGGCGATAGGCTAGGCTGAAGATGTTTTAGGGAACGAAGTGCTGCAACTGAAAGTGTTTGATAGATTATGCTCGTGTGAATGATGATCAATGGGTTTGGGTTTTGATATTTTTTGTGATATATGCACAAAATGCAATGCACATGTGTAAGCATCACTTGCATCATGAGTTTGTTGTCACCTCAATTTTGAAAATAGTATTAAAAAACACTTTGATTGCACAAAATTATGTAAACTCAAAGTCGGACTCTGAAACTTTCCAGTGAGTGGAGAGTTGGTGAGTGACCTCAAGCTGGAACTCTAGGTTTAAGATGGCTTAAGCGTCTTATGTTTTGTGCAAGAGTTTCCCTTCTCAGGCTTGGTTTTTGGACACAGCAAACAAAGAAAAAACCTCAACAAATATACATGTTTTTCACGTCCACATCGTACGCCGTACGCAAGTGACCTGCTCCCTTTCTCTTCGGTTCCTGCTCGATCATGCTGCCAGGCAACCATGCCTATGCCCGACACCGGCACCAGCTTTGCGGTGTTCATCGACATTGATCGCGCCACTTGGAGGAATGCCACGCGCCCCAAACATCCCAAAGCCTGCATGCGCCACATTGCCACAATGTGGACTCTTGATTAATAACCCCCCCATGTTGGGATTGAACAACCTCTTCATCTACATTACGTGGCTGTGTGCATGTATGTAAAGAACCTAGTGGTTTATAGACGCTCCAACCACCGGGTGTTCGTCAACTGTTCCTTTGCGGTCTTCCAAGTTCAGCCCTCATCCCGTGATAGTCGTCCATATTATGCATATCCCTACATACAACACAACTATTTTGCAGACCTTCATGAGCGGTCGTGAGTTACATACTCCAGCACTCTTCCTTTGGCTGAAAATGTTTCGGGCCGCACCACATGGAAATGGCTTAAAGCCGTGTCGTCCAAACGATGATACCAGTGACCAATTTCCGGTGACCGGAGATTGTGAGGTTGGGAGGCACCACTAGTTACTTACCCCACACACCAAAGAATTGTCATTCAAATACCAAGAGAGGTTAAGTGACCTGAACTAGGACCCTACTGGGGTACCGAACTGGATAGTCTAGTTCGGGTTCTTCAACCTTTGTTGGTACACCATCGTCCACCTGGAAAAAAGCATTGCGCTCGGGTCACCCATCGATCGACTGGTCAGGTAAGCTTTCCGCGCGAGGGCGACGAACGCGACGAACGCCTCGACGGAGGGCGAGTGCCGCGCGTGGAAGCGGACTATGTGATTGGAGAAGTGGAGCTGGATGCCAGTGGAGCGGCCACTTGGGAGAGAATGTGGAATGCTGGGGCTGGATGTAGAGAAGGTGTGAGGGGCAGGATGTGGAGGAGGTGGTTGGAATTCGTGGCTTGAGGTCTATTATTTTTGGTTCAAGCATTCAATCGTCATGGAAGGTGAAAAGCGACCATCCCCAAATTCATAAGTGAAGAAAGTTATCCGATGCAGGGCGCACCTGGAGTTGTACGCATTGACATGACAGAGTTAGTTGAAATGTTTTGAAATAGTTTTGATGTTATAATGAGTCATAGAACTGATAGAAGCAGATATGCTCAGATCGTTGTTTTCAGTTTGTGCTCAGATGCGGGGTCCAAAGTACGACAGCGTCGATCCGCGTCGCTCGTTTCGACGGTTTGGTCATCTCTTGTGGCGGTCAACACCAGTTCCCGGCACCCCAACAACAGTCAGTCAGTTGTGGGAGCTGTTTTCCACATGGAACGTGAGTCGAGAAAAGTGGGCGTTGTGGGGGATGTTTTTTCCATTCTTTTGATTTTCTTAGAAGCCACAACATTCTTTAAGAGAGGCTTGCCAAGTCTTTTGGTCACTTTTTGACTTACGTAAGTCTTTGCCACATCTTTGGGAGGCTTGGAGATGACTTGGTCTCTTTTCAACCCCCCTACCCGGTCTTGTGGGCGAGGTGAGTGAGCTCTCAACTGCTCAGAAGCTTCAACTTCTTCAACATGCACTCACCAGGTTGGAGATCGCTTCAGAACCTGTGCCAGGTGCCCTGATGGTGAAGAAGCAAATCGAAAAGAGTCTCCGACGGTCAGATTTCAGGTATCAACAACAAGACCCAGACACTCCATGTATTGCCATATATGCCCACATTGACCCCCCCAAAACCACCCCAATTGATCGGCAGTCCTATGGCAGTCCCATGGAGTGTCTGGGATATGTAACCACCAGTTGCAACGCAATTGGATCCAGCCACTCATATTCAAACCGGATGCGACTCGACGATGCAAGGTGTCGTCCTAAAGCGTTCTGGCAGTAGTGGGTATGGATTCTGTTATCACACTGGGGTGTCCAATGGAAGGTCATGGCTAGAGTGTGGCTTCATGAAAGGAGTGTTCTAAGGGAAGGTCAGGAAGGAGCCAGCGAGCCTATTAGCAACCACATGCAACCACCCTTAGAGAAAGAACTAAGTTTTTCATACTAGTAGTGTTTCTATGTATAGCAAAGCTGCTGGGCTCACCACATGGGTCTACCAGCCTACCGGCGCTTCAAATCCGTACTCGTTTTCTCGTGCGCCGTGCGAGGGAAAGTGGAAGAGTTCTTGAGGAGATACAGAATCAAGCACTTTGAAGCTTTGAAGACTGCCGGAGTGTTGTGATGCATTCCCTGTTTCATAGGGAGATGGAATTGGAGGATGATGGTTGCTTATACAAGCACTTGCCACCTGGACAAAGAGATGGACTTGCACAAACTCAGTGGCCACTTGTTGTGGTGTGCAGATGTGCAGAACCGAGTCGCTGCGGACACTCCGACCATTTCAAACCAATCAGATTCGGTGCTTCTCCACCTCAGCTTCCAAAAAAATCCCGAGCGGGAAGACTTGCGCTGCGTGATGTGCCGGGTTCGAGGATGCTGCGGACACTGCAGATGTTCTTTCGGAAGACTTCTGGGATGTCAGTCTTGTGGGGCGCCCACCACTGGAGAACCGTGAGTGAAGGGAGTTGAGCGAAGGCCGACCATGAGCGAAAGGTTCACCAGACTACGACCGACGTGAGCTGAGGCGAGGCTTTCTTCGTGGTCGACGCGGCATGGCGGAGGCAGTCGATGGACATAGATCGAGCAGGGCTTGAGTTCAAGGCAGTCGAATAGTGTCTTTGTAGTGCCACTGTTGCATGGAGGAGAGGGAATCGGACACGACCAACATCAACCAACCAGATACAGAGAAGTAAAGAGTTTTCCGCACCTTAGGTGCTTTTAAACCGCCTGCAGGAAAGAAAGGGCTTTGTCTTCCAAGGGGCCATGCCATCCACTTCCATGATTGTTTCAGGGAGTGTATTGCATGGTTTACATGGACCCCAGGTCAACCACCCCTGGCCTGATCGGCAGTCCCATGCTTACTGGGACGTCCGCCAGTTGACTCTGGGACAGGTCACATTTGTTGGGCGCACGGCGCCGCCTTCGCACGCCCGAGCACCTCAGGGCGATGTGGCGAACGTCTTTCGGAGCTCTCCAAGGGCGGTCGACTCGCTGGTTCACCCAAGCACTTCAGTCACAAAGAACATCGTGGGATGCCCTGCGGCACTGCAGGTGAAGCCGGGGACAAGTTGCAAGATCAACCTGACAGCCGGCCTGTTCTGTTCGCTATAAAAAAGGCAGCTTCAATCCAGTGTCCCAGGCTTTTGCTGCCAAAGTGAGTATTTAGGTTTTCTGGGTTTCTACTACTTTGGTCACAATCCAAGGGTTGTCAATTGCAAGAAACCATGCCAACAACATCGCTTTGTGATGCTTTGTGCAGTAGCCAGCGCACCACAGCTTGAACTGTTTCTGAAGACTTACTGTAAGATGTGTTGTGTACAAATACCAGTTCTTTGAGGATGGCAGCATTTTGGCTTGAAGATCCATTTGCTTCGGCTTGGTTTCAGCATGTTCGCCATGATCAGTGGAGAGGCGGTCTTAGAGACACCACCTCCGCGTGAGAACAAGCGCAAAGAGAGCTCCCAAGCCACGCCACCCGGCCAACGTGCACCCAAACGTGGTCGGAGAAAGGAAGCGGAAGAACTCGCTTTGACTGCTTCAAAGCTGGAATCTGAAGCTGAAGAAATGTCCCAGGAGGCCATTGCATGTGAGAAAGCAGCCGTGGAGGCCATGGAACGAGCTCAATCCCTTCAAGCAAAGGCTACTGCCTTGGCCAAGCGTGCTGAAGTGGCCAAGGCCGCAGCGCAGGAAGCCCGGCAAAAGGCGGAGCGTGCCGAGCAGTCAACGACCAAAGAGGGCAGGGATGCTTTGAAGGCCTGGACGGCTACAGAGGTTCGATGAGAGTAGATAGTATATGATGCAATACGGTCACATTGGTCACATTGTGCTAATGCTAGACTGAACTATTCATACTATACTAGATTCTTCGCATACACTGGGGTGCCGAAAGTTGCGCTTCTTGACTTCTAAATCGGGACAAACCCTTTCCCCTTAGAATCATTAGAATCCTACGTGCAACATGTCGACACCTAAGTTGCGGTCAGATTTCCACACCTGAAAGCATTATATAGGTATTATTTGAATTTAAACGGGTGTGGAAATCTAACCGTGCTGTACCTGCCAGGCAAAATGGACGTGTCAATCCGATCCGCTGTAGACCGCAAGTGTCATGTTGGAACGGAGTAAGAAGCGTAAACTTTAGGGTTCTTTAAGTACACATATTTGATAGGTACCCTGGCCCTGGCTGGGTAGACTGGTCTATTTCCCTTGCGAGGTCCAAACGGCTGGTCGAATTGTGTTCGTTGGGACGTGTAGGGGCGGTCAAGATGATGACACCTTCATGATGGCAGGCTTAACTGATCACATGCCTGGCTTAGCTGTTGAGGTCGGACTTGACCTGACTGAGTTAACTTGACTTATCAGAATGATGGCCAAGCTACTGGTGATCGATGGTAGAGGGATATAGAGGGTCAATGCTGTGTGTCTCGCTGCATGGTTAATGATGGAGAGCACTGATTCATGAATGTTACTCCGCTTTGGTGATTCCGCACCACACAACATGTGTGTTATGTTCTGGCTCTATAGATCATGAATTGTTAGCCAAATCAGGGTGAACAAGGAATTCCGCGGAAACGATGTATGATGCTTGCATTTACTTCATGCCAGGTCCAAGACAAAGCAGAGAAGCAAGCAGCCAAGGAGGCCGAGAAAGCTCGCAAACAAACAGAGAAGGAAGAGGGCGCCGAGGCGCGCAGTGTCATCAAGAACATCGGTGACAGAATCAAGGCCTCCATGGTGATCTGCAAAAGAGCTGGCATGTGGGAAGTTCCGCCAGGCTCCCGAGGGGAGGCAAATGTAGCGGTGTTAGTTTTCAGTTCAGGCAATGTCACTGGCAATGTGGCTGAAAGGACAGAAAGTATCGGTGAGAATATAAGTTATAAAAGATTTAGTGGGGTTTTGTTAACACTTGTTTCTTGAAGCGCTCAAGAATCAATAGCAGTAGCCAAGCTGGACTCCTGCCTGTTTGTCATACTGTGTCTTCAGCTGGTTGAACAGAGCAGGCTCTGTGTCCTTCAAGAATGTGAAGTTCGGCATTTTCAAGCAGCTCTTTTCCCGCGGTCGTTGCTCCTATGTGCCAGAGAATTTCTGCCCATCTGATGCGAGCATCGTGGTGACTTCAAAAGATGCTGCTGGCATTTTCGGAGCCACCAAGGCCGGGAGCTTGAAACACTTTGCTTCTAGCTTAGGGCGAAGGAGCCTTCAGAGGCTGAGTGTCCCAGAAAACCAGGCCCACCTTTCAAGAGGACTCGAAAGGACCTTCAGGCCTTCAAGTCCGCTTTTAACAACGTGTGAATGAAGCGAACGATGAAAGATGCAGTCCAGCCATTGGAGGTTCGTGGCGGCTCCATGTACGCCACCTTTGTTATCAGCAGCTTGCGCGCCAACTACATCCCTGCCACAGGGCAGCTGAGCATTTCCTACGACACAGACATGGGCTTTTGAAGAATGGTGTCCGATGTCCTGTGTCGCCTGGCGCCATGAAGAAGAGTACCTCATGCGCGCCAATGACCGTAATTCGGGGTCCCATTTGGGTACAGTCCAAAGCCGGTGCGCGTGTTGGAGGTGTCCAGCTCACTGATGCTAAGCCACAGGAAAGTAGACAGAGGTTGCAATGGTTCCACATGACTTTACACAGCAACAGTACCTAAAGATTCGAGCCTTGGACTATGCCAAATGGTTGGCAGAGTGGAATTATGACAGTGCGTAGCAGGCATCAATGCCATTCCTTTGCACAGTGCACCTGCACCTTCCATTCACCGTATTGGGCATAGCCGGGGAAAAGCTGGCCCATGGTGATGGTTATGGTCAAAGGACGCCATGCCCAGACAGTGCCATTGTGAAGACAGTGCCTTTTGATGACGGTATGTTCTCGGGGTTCTCGGGTTCAGGAATCTCACTGCTGATTTCTTTGGTTGAAGTGGGGGCTTCCATCCGCCTTCCTGTGTCGCTAGTTATATACTTTAATTTTGCTTGGTTATATTCCGATTATGCTTGCAGTTGCTTCAGGGAAGGCAACACCCGGAGGAGGTTGAGATTGGTTGGCCGATTCGGCTTCCTCTCCAAAGGACAGCAGAATCCACCGAGGCACGATTCGGTTCCCCCCATCCTTCACCCCATCTGCAGATCGTGCTCGCGCCTTCGCTCCTCTCCGACTCCTTGATTTTCTCAAGCCTCGGTCCGGTGCGGCGCGGTCTGTGACACCGCGGTCTGTGCACCCCCAGTTCTGGGCCCTCCGTGCGAATGCAGAGGCAGGGGAAGACGGGGGATTTGGATGGGACACCGAAATTCACAAATTCACAGCTCAAGCAGGTCTGTGTGTGTGTTTGTGGTGAAAGGAGATGAAAGGAGCATAAAGGAGTAATTAAGCTGCCAAGAGATGTTTGGTGATTCTGGTGATCATGTAATGGGAACCATTGGGGCTCATGCGTTCATGCTTTCCAGGATTCCCTTTATATAATATATATATATATATGTGTGTGTAATATATATATATAGTCTTAGAACCATTGGTGACGTTCAAAGTGGTCACTGCAACCGCTGAAACCGTTGATGCAACCTCATGACTCATTGACGTTTGAACCGTCTCGTAGAATTAGTTGCAACAGTCTACAGAACAACTCTACAATACTACCCCAAAAAATCAAATAAAGTAAAATAGACAGTTGTGGGGCCCTGTTATATTTATATTAACTATATTATCATATAATTAATATTATTTAATATGAATATACCAGGGCTCCACAACAAGATGTCTATTGATAGCTCCTAGGTCGAGGTCATCTCACGGGGTGTCCGTGGCAGAACCACCGGGGACGACGGTGTCGGTGTGAACCACCGTGGCAGTCGTTCACGTCGTGAGACGACCACAGCCGGAGACGACTTGGCACGTCGACCTTGGTGACGTGAGGAAACATGTGTGTTGTTCTTCTTAACCATCAAAACCAACGTCTCCTTCCCCCACGTAAAACTGGAAGCACGGCAAGAAGCAGTTGGCTTCGGATGGCTCGTGGGTTCTGTTGGCTTGTGGTGGCTTCTAAACAACTTCTGGGCAAATTGCCTTGGTAGTTTCTTGTGGCTTTTGTTGGCTTCTTAGAGCGGTCGCCCCCTCCCCCACCAAATCTGCAACCTCTCTGATTTCCAGGTAGCGGAGCGATGTGGTTCGCATTCCTTGGCATCTCGGCAGAGCCAAGGGATTTTTCACGAAAGCTAGCGAAGCTAGCTGGAGTTACTCTTGCGATAGCAAGGTTTCTTTCGACCGGGTGCAAATCCTAACCCCTGATTTTTCAGGTCGAAGACCCCCCCCCC